TGTTAATTAATATTATTATTATTATTATTATTATTACAAATTAAATGGATTTTTTTAAAAAAAAAAATGAAAGAGTTTATCAAGTGTCTTTCATTGACGACAAAATTGACGGGGTGATTATAATGAAATGGGGATGAATTAATGGGGTAAATAAGTTTTAAGATGTAAAAAATTATTTATTTATTAAAGTTTTTATTTTTCGAAAAGAAGGAAGCGAGTAATAAATAATAATAATAATAATAATTCAAAGAAGTAAATAAGAAGAAAAAAAAAAAAAAATGATTAAAAGAGCGTTACAAGTACCACCACCGTAAGTCAGTACGATGCCCTCATAAAAAAAATAAAAAAAAAAACTTCTTCAACGATGAACATTTGTTGTGAAAGGAATTTTTTTATTAAAATATTTATAAAAAAACTTTTTCCCAATTATTATTATTATTATTATTATTATTATTATTATTATTATTATTATTATTATTATTATTATTATTATTATTATTATTATTATTATTATTATTATTATTATTATGCTGGAGAAAAAAAAAATAAAAAAAAAAATTGTGAATATTTCCGCGTGTGTTGTTTGTTTGTTTGTTGTTTGTTGAATTCCACGTTTTGAAACCTTCCATCTTAACGTAGAAAAAAAAAATAATAATAATAGTGATTGATGGGAAACTCGTTGATTTTTTACGATTCGAGATTAATAAAAAAATTTATGTAGAAAATGTTGTTGTTGTTGTTGTTGTTGTCATAATTAAATCAATAATTATTAGAATAAGTTAATTCGCGACCTCTGGAAATTTCTAGAAAAAAAAATTTTTTTTAACTCCATTAGTATCGGTGTAGGTTGTTGGTTCCATGGTAATTTATTTAAATTTTTCTATAATGAGTTTCTCGCATAACAGATTGCTACTTTCTTTTTTTTTTTTTTTTTCTTTTTTTTTTTTTTTTGGAAAAAATCACTTTTTTTTTTTTTTATATATATATAACATTTGGGAATGTAAATTTTTTGAGGAGGGGGAGGGGGAGGGGGGAAATTCCTAAACACTTATAATATATCCATTTTAAATAAAAATTGAGTCTATGGAATTTTATGTGTTATTTATATTATGTGTCAAATTTAAAAGCCGCCATTTTTTTATGCATATAAACTCGGGTGAATCTTTCTTGCCACCTATAAATCGTAAGACGTTAATTTAAGTTTCTTATTTTTTTTTAAATATGTTAGGGTATGCAGAGTCTGGGTAGGCATCGACCTCTTTCCATGTTATAAAAATTTATTTAGTCTCTTTTTCATTTTTTTTTTTTTTTTTTCCAACTCCTGTTACCCTCATTTGTTTTTTTTTTTTTTTTTTTTTTTTTTTTTTTTTTTGTTTTTTTACATTCGTAAGAATCATCGATCGATGGGGTGGGTGGTAAAAATTTAATTTCATAGCTTTTATGATGACGTATACATACAAAATCGATGAAGTTTATTTTTCCCCTATATACGGCTACCATACGAACCGAATTTTTTTTTTTTTTTTTTTTTTATTCTTCCTGTTATTTTATTATTATTATTATTAATGGTTAAATAATTTTTTTTTTTTGGGCGGAGGATAATATATATGTGGATACGTACCGCACACCTTTTTTATTCAAATATTTAATTTCGAATCCCTTTTTTTTCTATATATGAATCATTGAATTAAAGTTGTGGGTGACGTATATATGCATGTTTTCATAGTTTTCGTGTCGTTATAGAAACACTCCATTATGGTTTTTTTAACTTTTTTTTTTCCATTTAAAATGAGTTGTTATATAATTTTAACCCAATAAATATATAAAACTCTTAATGTTTTTATTCTTTTTCTAGACCGGATTATCATTTTTAAAAAGCATAATAATAATAATAATAATAATAATAATAAAAATTACAATCCTTCCTTATGATTGAGCGAATTATTTTACATACATACGGTTATTAACATTATATAATATTTATTATTTACCATTATTACATATTATTACTTATTATTTTATGTAATTATTATTATTATTTTATATATATATATATATAGGAAATTACATTTTACGAATTCGATTGAATTTTTGTGTCGTATCGATTAATAAATAAATAAATAAATAAATAAAATATTTCCTTTCGATTTTCATTTTAAATTTATTAAAAAAAAAAAAAAAAATTTATTAAAATAATTCCATATACTTTCTAAACGTTTTAGCAAGTTTTTTAAAATTCATTCAGAGTGAAATTTTTAGCATCATTTCACTCAGTTAGGCCACTTTTTTAGTTTTGTTTTGCTGGAAGGGAAAGGAGGAGTTTTAACTTTTTAAATTTTCTTTATGTTAACCTTGATTTGGAGTCGGCGTCGGATTATCGATTTTCTTTACGTACAACTTTCATTCCGACAGCCTTCCCCCCCTCCCCCGCACCCGTACCCGCCCTTGGGAAAACTAACAATTTTGTCTACTATTTTTTTTCCGAGTTGGACCGTTGTTCAATTATTATTATTATTATTTTAAATATTTCAATGATGAATACGACAATCTCAAAACAAAATTAATTTATTTCATATATTTTATAAATGTTTATTTGAATTTAATAAGGTTTTTATTTATTTATTTATTTATTTATAGAAACAAAGCTATAGCCGATTACTTAAGTAGCAATGGATACATGGACGCTCTTCAAGCATTTAAAAAAGACGCGGATATGCCTGGAGAAGTGGAGCACAAATACGGAGGACTATTGGAAAAAAAATGGACATCCGTTATACGTCTCCAAAAAAAAGTCATGGAATTAGAATCGAAATTATCGGCAGCTGAAAAAGAAATAATCGAAGCTCCAACGAGAGGGAAAAGAACTCCTTCCGAATGGATTCCTAGGCCTCCTGAAAAATTTTGTCTATCCGGTCATAGATTTCCATTGACTAGGGTAAAAAATCAAACCTGATTTTACACTAAGATAAATAAACTTGTAAATATTATTATTATTATTATTTATTTATTTTTATTGTTTTTTTTTCCAGGTGATTTTTCATCCGGTGTTTAGTTTAATGGTGTCTGCTAGCGAGGATGCTACAATGAAGGTCTGGGATTACGAAACCGGTGAATACGAACGAGTTCTAAAGGGACACATGAACGCAGTTCAAGACATTGCTTTTGATCAGACTGGAAAACTTTTAGGTACGATCAACATTAAATAAGGTATATTTTTTACATGAGAAAATAAAATAAATTTTTTTTTCAGTATCCTGTAGCGCCGATTTATCAATCAAAATATGGAACTTTCAACAGGATTACGAATGTATAAAAACACTTCACGGACACGATCATAACGTGTCGAGCGTAGCCTTTATGCCCGGAGGCGATTACATTGTTTCCGGTTCAAGAGACAAAACAATTAAAATGTGGGAAGTCGCTTCGGGATATTGCATTAAAACGTTTACGGGACATCGCGAGTGGGTGAGAATGGTGAGGCCGTCTCCGGATGGAACTTACATAGCATCATGTTCAAATGATCAAACAATACGAATTTGGATTGCGTCCACGAAGGAATGCAAAGTAAGTACCCCGATGCGAGGGTGTGGAAATTTTTACTTCCCTTTGGTTTATCCCGAAAAAAAAAAAATTTTTTTTTGTATTGATTGCAGTTGGAATTGAGAGAACACGATCACGTTGTAGAATGCATAGCTTGGGCACCCGAAAGTGCAACCTCGGCTATCAATGAAGCTGCCGGATCTGATAATAGAAGAGGAGCTCAAAAAGGACCATTTTTGGTTTCAGGCTCACGTGACAAAACACTAAAAGTAATTTTTAAAGATTGATTTAATTCCTTTTTTTCTTTTTGTTTTTTAATGACCGAGAGTTTTATTTTTCAGGTATGGGACATCAGTACCGGCGTATGTTTATTTACTTTTGTCGGTCACGATAATTGGGTGCGGGGAGTCGTTTTCCATCCGGGTGGAAAATATATAATCAGTGCTAGCGACGATAAAACTCTGCGAGTATGGGATATTCGCAATATTAGATGTTTTAAAAAACTCGAAGCCCATCCTCACTTTTGTACTTGCTTAGGTAACCGCAAGGAAAAACCGAAGGAAAATTTTTTTTTTATAAAAAATTGGATTTATATTAATTTTGTTTTTTTTTTTTTTAAATTTAAGATTTCCATAAAAGTCAACCATATGCAATCACCGGTAGCGTCGACAACACCGTAAAAGTTTGGGAATGTCGTTAAAGAAAAAAAAAAAACTACGAATGAAATAAATGGTCATTAATTATTGCTTGTTAAATAAATCCACACTCGATTGATTATTAGTTGGCAATTCTCTATTACATTGTGTCCAAAAAAAAAAAAAAAAATGTGATAAAAACAATTTGCTTACATTTAATTTAATAATAATTTCAAAACTCTCGAAAACTTGCAAGCAAAAAAAAAAAAAAAAATTGCAAGTTATTTTCAAATAAAATGTTTTAAATAGATTTAAAAAAAAAAATAGTATAGAATCATTAAGTTTTAAAACATTAATAATAATAATAATAATAATAATAATAAATTCAGTCTTTTCTCATACAATTCCAAAGATTTTTATTTTTATTTTTATTTACTGGAATCCAGCTTTATGGAAAAAGAAAAAAAAAAAAAAAAAAGATACTTTTTTTACATGCAAAAATGTTTCTACATAAATTCGTTATTTTTTAAATAAATAAAAGAAAAAAAAAAAAAAATTTTCTGGCAAACTCGGAGTAAAATTTAATATTTATTTATTTATTGGTTTTGAAAAAAAAAAATAAAAAAAATTTTTTTACCTTTTTTTGGGCACAAAATACAAATCAATTATTTATATATATACACGTATATATATATTTCTTCTAAACTATTATATTTAAATGCTTTTTCGATGTTTGCATAAATCAAAATGGACGACAAAACATTACATATATTAAAAAAAAAAGGCAGTTAAAATTAAATAATAATTTGAAATTTTTTTCAATACAATTTAATCTTTATCGAATCGGCTAGCAGATTAAAAAAAAAAAAAATTATTATTGCTTTAATTTTAAAATGATAAATTGTGTTCTTAAATGCTTTAAATCATTTGAAAAATTTAATTTTGTATTTTTTATTACTCATTGATATAATAATGGTCTGCATAAATTGCCAAATTATCAGTTTAAAAAAAAAAAAAAAAAAATTAAAGGGAGAGAATATATCTGTGATTAGCTTTTAAATTTGCTTCATAATATTATATTCAGAACTGTGCTCAGTTTTTACAAAAAAAAAAAAAAAAATTAAAATAGAAAAGTGTAAATTTTGAAAATGTTATTTAAAAATAAATAAATATATATATATATATATACACGATTAATAATAATTATTATTATGAATGATTTGAGGAAAGATAAATACAGTGCAAAAATTTAAATTGTAATTTAATAAAGGAATTCAGTATAATAATAATAATTATTTAAAAAAAAAAAAAATTATTATAGGAAATATATTGAGTATGAGAATTAATTTAATTATATTGTATTTACAATTTAAAAAAAAAAAAAAAAAAAATCTAATATTTTATTATTATTATTATTATTATTATAAATTTAATGCAAAATTAATTTGAACAATTTGGTTAATGTATTTTTATAAGGATGCTGCATATAGGATGTAACATTTAAAATCAAACATAATAATTAAAAATTCTTTTTTATTTTAATCTTTATAAATGCAATTACAATTCTTCACAACTTTCATGGTAAATAATTTTTTTTTTTTTTGTGTGCAAGTAATGTACTTTTCAATTCTCTTCGCTTTGCTTTTCCTTATAATATACTAATGAATACCGAAAATTGTAAATATTAATATTTATTTTATATTTCCTTTTGTTAACAAGTAAAATTTTTGTTTTATCTAAAATATGCTTATAAAAAATTGTCATTAACTGTTGTATAATTTATGTAATAATAATTTTTTTTTTTTTTTTTTTTTTTTTTTTTTACAGGTAGTGTCAACTGTTTTGTTTCAAAAGCCGGCTAAAGCATTTCCGATATTTTCACATAATTCTTTAATTTCACTGTCCGATTTGTATTCTGCTGCTAATATTGCATTGGCCACAGCGATTGTTTCATTAACAGTTTTAGCCTTAATCCAAATATTTCCATTCATTCCAGCAGCTATTTCAAAAGGTATTTGTAAAGTTCTTTGAAATGTATCTATTAATGGACACTTGGGATTTAATATTTTACGAACAAGATTTAAACTGCAATTAAACATAAATCCATCGGAAGGAAGAACACCTAACTTTCCTTTTTTTCCATGCGAATCAACACATACTAATTCAGGCTCTAAGTCTTTATTGGCTACAAGTAATCTGGCATACACAACATCACCAACATTAATATTAGGCCTAAATTTTTTAGTGGCTCCTTCGAATGCTAAGTAGGGTAACTGAGCTTGTTCACTTGCTCCTATCTCTACCTTAAAAATATCGCCCGATTTATTGGTAATAACCCCCACAATTGTTTCACCTTTAGCAGGAACATATCTTTTTTGTCGACTGTCAACCCAGTATACATTAGAACCTTTTTTATGAAGAATCCCGCATTTGGTTGCTATTATTTTGTTAGAAGAAACACGCAAACCAGGTCCCACAATAATTTTGGACTTGACTTCCGCAGTTAAATCTAAAATTACATCACCGGGTACAACAATTGAGTTGATTAAAGACTCCATTTAAATACATTTATGTATAAATAGATATTATCGAATTTAAATTGTAAAAATATTTTAGATATGGTTATTTTTGTCGCTTGATGAAAAAAAAAACACACAATTAATTTTCCAACCGTGCGTCAAATAAAGTAACGTGTCTTTAGACACAATTATTATAAGTAGTTTATTTTCACAATGACTTCAGGTTATTTTCTAAAAATTTGTAAATTTATTAAAAATGTGGGGTAAAGCCGATTCTTTGGAAAATAATCCATTTGCTTCTTTGTTTCCAAGTTTGGAAGAAGCAAGGAAATATTCTCGTAAAGTTTCAATTCAGCATATGAACGAAAATAAAAATCTTGTTGAGAAAACTACGGAACATGAACCTAGCACTAGTAAATATAATGATTTAAAACATAAAAAAAATGATAAATGTAATAATGAAATTTCAATTTCGGAAGAAAAAAATAATGTTGCGCAAAAATTTACCAGAAAAGAACGAATCAATGACGCCGCTGAATACATATTTGGTATAACTTTAAACAAAAATACGGATAAAACTTTGGTATTAATAGAAGAATTTGCAAGCTGTGAAAATTCATTGATAGAACTTTCAAATTTAGATCAAATTTTATTTGAACGTTTGTTACTTCAAAATCCAGTTCAAAATCTTTTGAACCCTCCCATAAATGGTGTAATTGATGGTCCAACTGTTCTGGTGGAAGTCATAACATATCTTGTAGAAGCTTTTAAAAAACTATGTAAAGCATTGCAAATGTCTAAATATGAAATTATTAAAAATGAAATTGGTGAAATGCAAATGTTAATTTTAAGAAATTCAGCTACTGCTCTTAGACAACCAGAATTATATGAAAATCAAAATTTAAATTCTCAAGTGTTGCAAATATTTTATGAAAATGTTGGTCTGAATAAAGAAGATCTTTTCTTGCCTTTTTTAAATGGGATTGTGGAAGAAATAATAAAAGATGAAGATAATCCTTCGGAAGTAATATTGACTACATTCACGCCAATATTTGATTTTGTTCACAAAAAAATTGCAAATAGCAATCTTATAAATTTTGAGCATGCAGTAATTTTTTCATTCCTACAAACAATGGCTTCTATTAAATATTTAGCTGAGGCTCTTATAAGACACTCAACCCCCAAGTCTCAAACCCCAGGCAGTGTATATTCAGATACATTGCTTGGAGCTATTTTTTGTCTCTCATGTTTGCCAAAAGTCAATGATGGTCCTTATGAATTTTTTGACTCTCCTACAAAATCAGTTGAAGATGCTGTGTGGACGTCTCTTAATTGCATATGTGATAATTTACATCAGCTGTTTTTAATGCTCTTGAAGGTGTCCACAGAAAGTAAACATAATACAATGCAATGGATTGCTGATTGTTTACATTCAAATGCAGACAGAGGGAAACTTCATATGTTTGAAGAAGATCAAGCCTTGGGTGAATCTAGAAGTTCAAATGTATCAGATGGTTTTATGCTTAATTTCAGCGCTGTGCTACTGAGATTGTGTCAACCATTTATAACTGTGTATAATGGTGTCAAAATACTAAAAATTGATCCGACATATTGTGCAGCTAAAATAAATAATGAAGAAGAGGCACAACAAAAAAACTGCCATATGCACAATTTACATTCTGAAACGTGTCTTATACCAGCTGAAGAAGGTCAAACTAGGCCAACTTCTGATAGCTTTAATTTTATAACAGAATGTTACTTCATGGCTCAAAAATCACTTGATCTAGGTTTTAGAATATGTGCTGAAAAAGTTAATGTATTATATGGAGAATTGGCCAAAATTCAACAAGCTTATAATGATGCTGTTGCTACTAGAGGAGCTAATCATGAAGTTACTGAGCATATACAAGAAAGAATGCAGGCTTTGATGTCTAGATTTTTGTCTCTTAGAGCAGCACTAATAGAGCCGAAAACATTGGATTTATTATCTAAACTCCATGCGTCTTCTGCTAATTGGCTCATTCAAATTCTTTTAAGTAACAAAGATGAGTCAAGTTCTACATGTTCATTATCTGACATGAAACCCCTAGAAATTCCATTACCTGAAGAAATTCCAGAAACTTTGAAATGTGTTCCAGAATTTATCCTTTTAAACCTAACCTGTTATTTATCATTTATTAGAAGGTATAATAGAAAAGCATTGGAAGAAAATGGATTCGGGTGGCTGGAACCTATTTTGAGTGTGATAATTATATTTATGGGATCAGCAAAAAGAATATCGAATCCTCATTTAAGGGCCGGTCTAGCAGAATCCATGGAAGCTCTTTTACCAAATAATAATGATGAAGATATGATTGCTACTCCGACAAATTCTTTGGGAACCATTTACAGGGAACAGTTATTTAAACAGCACCCTTTGAAAAAATTATTTATTCCTAGTTTACTTAATGTGTTTGTCAGCATAGAAATGACGGGGCAAAATGTGCAATTTCAAGAAAAATTTAATTATCGGAGACCGATGTATGTGATAATGGATTACCTTTGGTTAAATGAAGAACACAGAGATTGTTTTAAAAGTTTAGCACTGGAAGCTGAGAAAAATATGGAGGCGGTAACTCCTCCCCTCTTCCTGAGATTTGTAAACCTTCTCATCAATGATGCTGTATTTTTATTAGATGAAGCGCTTTCCAACATGGCTCAATTAAAAACCATGCAAGCAGCAAGAGAATCAGGAGAATGGGCCAAGTTATCATTTCAAGAAAGATTACAAAACGAATCATTTTTTCACCAAGCAGGAATGCATGCAAAGTTTGACAATATTTTAGGACGATGGACAATTCACACATTGGAATATTTAACGTCTGAAATAACCAGTATATTTTTACATCCTGTGATGGTGGATAGAGTGGCCGCCATGTTAAATTATTTCTTACAACATTTGGTAGGTCCGAATAAGAAAAATTTCAAAGTGAAAGACAAAGAAGAATACAAATTCAAACCGGATGTATTCGTTATGGATATTTGTAAAATATACGTGCACCTTTATCACAGCGACGAATTTTGTTTGGCCGTTTCTCAAGACGGAAGATCATACAACAAAGATTTGTTTTGTCAAGCCGAAGACGTTCTGGGTACGTATATATATAATTTTTTTAAAATTTTAGTTTGCCAAAAAAAAAATATATATATTTTTATATTATTTGTCTCGTATTTTTTCCAGCCCGAATCGGAGGTGGAGCTTTGATAAGTGATCTGCAATTGGTTGATCTTAAAGTTGCGGAAATGGCTTCCCGTCAAATAGAAGAAGAAGAAATGTTACCCGATGCACCGGAAGAATTTTTGGATCCAATTATGTCTACCATAATGAAAGATCCAGTCATTTTACCCTCTTCGTTGAAAGTCGTCGACAGAACTACAATCGCAAGGTAAGTATGTCTTAAACAAAATTTATATGTTTATATATGTCTTAAATCGTTTTATCAATTTTAATTATTAGGCATTTGTTAAGTGACGAATCCGATCCTTTCAATCGTTCGCCTTTAACGCTCGATAAAGTAAAAACCCATACGGAATTGCGTGAAAAAATTAATGATTGGGTGGAGAAACGACGAAAAATTATCAAGGATAAAAAATTATCATCCTCGGAAAATCCTCAAACAAATTAAATTCGTCAACAAAATAATAATAATAATAATAATTCCATCGTGAAATAATTCCTTTATATTTTATTGTTTGAAATCTTTTTATTTTATATATATATATATATAACACTAATCGGTAAATAAAATGTACGGTTCATTGTATTGACTCTTTTTTTTTTTTGTTGATTGCAAAAGTTTCAAAAAAAAAAAAAAAAAAAAAGGTAAAAGGTTTATGTCATTCCTGATTATTTAAGGCTTATGAGAATTTAATAAGAAAAAAATTAAAAATTGATAACAAAAATAATTATGTATTATTTAAAAATAAAAAAAAAACATATTACATTTCATGGAGATTCATTCTATATTAAAAGATAAAAAGTTTTGCAATTAATCAGTCTTGATAATGAAAATTTTGAAAATATACATTTATATAATTTTTTTTTTTTTTTTTTTTATAAAAACTTTAAAAATAGTGACTATAGTAGTAGTAACCTACAAGGTTCTTTTTTAAATATCATCACTGATTTTATATTTTTTTTTTTTTTTTAATGCAAGTTACAGTAACTAAATTTGAAAAATTGTATTCTAGTGGAAGAAAATAAGTATATTGATATAATCATCAGCTTTGCTCATTTTAAAATATGTTTCATTGCATTGGAAAATTTTTTTAATTTATTCAAAATGTCATCATCTAATCTTTTTCCAGAGATTCATATTGCTCCTTGATGGACATGGCCAAACTATAAGAAAATAATATTCCCAATATCTGAAAAAAAAAAAATTAATATTTATAATTAAGAATGTATTTTTTTTTAATCTACATAAGAAAGAAATAATTAGAACAGGAAAAAGATTTCGGTCAGAAAGATAATTATGTAGGATAGGCTATCAGCATCTCATTTTTACATAATAAGAAATTTTTTTGTGTCAAGATGAGTTAGTTAAATATTTTCCAAATTAAATGACATTTTAATGTAAAAATACCTGTATAACAGCAATGCCAATTCCTGCACCACCTAATGCTCCAGCATTGTATGTAAATAAATTTTCCAAATAATTGTAGCATGGTTCTTTATATGTGTCATTCAGGGTACATACATTTGTGACATTGGGGCAACATGAGGTAGGAATGAAAGAATTCCAATCGTTAGCTTCGAGTGCACCACAACAATAAAACTGTAATTACAATTAAAAATTACAAAGCGGCTAAAACTATTTTATAATATTTTAATTTTTAGAATAATCGAATAATAACTTACTGTTGATTGAGCAATATCCCACATATTTTTAACATCTTTACTACTATTGTAACTTTGCATAGAATTTAATAAATCAGTTTTTAATTCTGTTGAAACTTTATCTCTTAAAACATAACCAGCAATTCCTCCGCTGATTTCAAGAATTAAAATTAATAAAAGTAATACGCCAAACTAAAAGAAAAATTTTGGGTTTAAAATAAAATAACAGACCAATTTCAAAAAATTATAAAATATTAAATCATGTCATTATAATGACAACTTACAGTTATAGTCATACAATAATTTTCCTTCACAGCTCCACAGCATCCGAAAAAAGAAACGAAAAATATAATAATACCGATAAATATTAAAAGAACAGGAATAGCAAAAAAACCATGATCCAAAATGTAGTGGTAAGCACTGTAGGGAGTTTTTATAACAGAACCAATTATTATTAAAATAATACCTGTTACCTGAAAGGAAATCAAACAAAATGGTATGATAATTACATTAAATTTTTTTTTTTTATTTGTAAATTATTTTGAAATGTGGCTTGAAACAATAAGTTTATTAACTTCTATATATTGTTAAAATTAATTTTATTTTGTTAAAATTTTTTGTTTTTTACTCAAAATTAATAGCTTTTTATTTAAATTAGGGTATTTGCTATACATTATCATGTGGAATTTATATGACTTAATTAACTTTGAAAAAATATCAACGTGTGGAATATTACATTAGCCGCAAGTTACATCATTTATAAGACTTGTATAAAATTGAATATAAAAACTCACCACAAATAATAAATTAAAAGTAAATAACAAACATTTAATGCATTTAGCTCCGAACGGTAAAGACATTATTAAAAATTAGATATTATGCCTTTAAAAAAAAATGACAATATAAAATTTAGAGAACCATATGCCTAAAATTTATGAAAACCAATTACTTTTTGTAAATATGACTTGTCAACGGTAATAAATGAGGTCATGAACGGTAGCAAAAACTAATCAAGTTTTTTTTCGACTGTCACATTCTATTGGTTTTATATAAATTAAAAAAAAAAAAAAAAAAACATCTTATTTCTTTAGTTGTTAGTATTTATAGATTTTAAAACAATTATTACTTTAGATTTTTCTTTAATAATAAACTTTGAAATTAATATTTTTCTGTTCTAGTGAATTTTACATTTAAAATAAACAAATTCTTCACCAACGAATACTTATATTAATATACTTGAATTTATCTATAATGATCTACGGTTCTTTCTACTTATAATTAAATATCAAATAAACCGTTTTTAATTTTTTTTTTTTAGTGAAATAAGTATTTTGTTTTGCTTGCAGGAATTTTTTAATAATTATTCTAAGGTTTCACAAAAACCTTACAACGGGTATTAAATGAATCAAAAATTAATTTTTATTATATTTTTAAATAACTTAACGTTTATTTTATTATTCACTCTGACAAAAATTTAATTTTATAGTTTTTTGCTACAATAATTAATACATAATTTTGTATTTTAAGAATTTAAAAAATAATAACGTTATCGGCAGTTTACCGAAAAAATATAATTTAGTATAAGTAGAATTAGTTCAATGTCCACTATTTTTCCCAATTTTTAATACGCTCATTTATTTTAGAAAAAAATTAATTTAATATTAAAAAATAATAATATTTCAAATATTATAATTTGTTTAACTAAAATTAAAAATTAATTAATTTGGTTTATATCTTTTGTTTATTAACGTCATAGATTTATCGAGGTTTAATCTTTATGATATCGATCCAAAAGTTTTAGGCGCACCAAGTGATTACACAGAGAAAAAACAAAATTCAAGGCCCTGAAAGTCAAAAACGATTTACTCAGAAGACTGTCAATTTAAAATTAAGGTGTCACTTTTTATTTTCAAATAAAAATCTACACTTTTTCGATAGGTGTGTGTGTGTTTTTCTTTTCTTGGCTATAAAAAAATTCAGTAGTGTTTATTCTTTATTTAATTTGTAATAATTATTAACTACTGAATATTAATACTGAAAAACATTTTTTTTTTAAAAAAACATTACACGATTTGTTATTCTCATGAGATTGCTATTTAATTAAATATTATTAATTATTTCATTTTTTTTTTTTTTTAGTTTCAACGAATTTTACCGAAAACAATTGAAAAATGGTTTCTGTGGCTATGTCTTGTGTAAAATACCTTCTTTTTTTCTTTAACCTGTTATTTGCGGTAAGTTAAATTTGAAAATGTCTTCTTATACTTATTGATAAAACTTTAAATATTTCATTATTCTTTTTATATTTCAGTTGACAGGTGTTGCCATTTTAGTTATTGGAGGACTTTTGCAAAGTGTTTACCACAATTATTCACAATTTGTCAATGAAAACTTCACATTTTTACCAATTTTAATTATTGTTACTGGAGCTGTAATTTTTATTATTACATTTTTCGGGTGTTGTGGAACTGTCAAAGAGAATCACTGTATGATATCAACTGTAAGTATTAAATATTACATTATTTTATTTGTATCTTTAACTCTAACTTTTCTTGATAATAACTTAATTTATTAATTTAAACCATAAAAATATTTATATTTAATTCTAGTTTGCATCACTTTTGCTAATCCTTTTTGTAATTGAATTGGTTGCTGGAATTGGAGCATTTATTTTTCATAATTACCTCAAACAAATTATTGAAAATCGCATGGAATCAAGCTTAGAGCATTACGATTCTGAACCTGACATTAAAAAGTCATGGGATATACTGCACACAGATGTAAGTACTATTGTTTGAATATTTATTGCATAAAAAATTTTTTTAAAAATTATGCATGTACCTAAGTTCAATATTTACATTGAAGCAACAATATAGAATTTTATTTTTTTAAAATTAGTTACATTGTTGTGGAGTTAATGGTACTGCAGATTGGAATGGGAAAATCCCTCTGTCATGCTGTCCGATTGTGAATCAAGATGAACAATGTACACAAGCAGATGCTTATGAAACTGGATGTTTTGAAAAAATGTATCTTTTCATTAATCAGAATTCATTAATTTTGGCCGGCATTGCTGTAGTGGTTGCATTCATACAGGTCAGTAATTTATTTTTCGAGAAAGCACATAATTAATATTTTTTTATTTGAAATGTAAATTTTATCATGTTTTTAATTCAAATTTAAAAATTTTTCTATTATTGCAGCTTGTGGGAGTTTTGTTTGCTTGTTGTCTGGCCCATTCCATTCGTAAAGGCTATGAAACGGTATAAACTTATATGAATCTCAAACAAAAATTTATTTTATGTTTCAATATTTTTTTGCATTTGTGTAAAAGCTTTCTATTTTATTGTATATTGTTATTGTAAGAATGATTTTTTGTTATAAGTACTTATTTTGGGATCAACTTATTTTTCAAAGAAAATTTCTCTCATATAAAGCGTTACAATTATATTTTTACCGTTGCAAA